ATATACAGAAAAGAAGACATTTGTGATCCTGTTCCAGTTGAGTCCCATCTAACGAATGATCTTGTCATTTCTTTTTCCCATAGGGAGAAGAAAATTGAGGGACTGAATTTTATTAGATGCTTAGCTGCTTTTCATTCTGAGATACTGAACACAAAGTTGCATGAAACAAATTTTGCAGTTGTTCAAGAGGTAAACTTATTTTTCAGATGAGTTAAGGATTGTTAGAATAACAAAGGATAAATATGCTGTTTATTTGACCTTTAAAATGTTTAAACAACTCTATACCATATGATATAAAAGGCTTGTATTTAATTAAACTAGTCCGTGTCTTAATTTGCAACATTAAGAGAAACTTAATAGGTGTTGATTCTTAGGACTAAAGATAATATATATTAACATGTGGAGTTTTGTTTGTTTTTGAAATGGAGTCTTGCTCTGTCGCCCAGGCTGGACTGCAGTGGTGCGATCTCGGGTCACTGCAACCTTCTCCTCCTAGGTTCAAGAGATTCTCCTGCCTCAGTCTCCCAAGTAGCTGGGATTACAGGCACATGCCACCACGCCTGGCTAATTTTTGTATTTTGAGTAGAGATGTGGTTTGACCATGTTAGCCAGGCTGGTCTTGATCTCCTGACCTGGTGATCCACCCACCTTGGCCTCCCAAAGTGCTGGGATTACAGGTGTAAGCCACCACGCCCAGCTTAAGATATGTTACTTGAAGCCAGGAGTTCAAGACCAGCTTGCCCAACATGGCAAAACCCCATTTGGACTAAAAATACAAAAATTAGCTGGGCATGGTGGTGTGCACCTGTAATCCCAGCTACTCAAGTGGCTGAGGCATGAAAATTGCTTGGACCTGAGAGGCAGAAGTTGCAGTGAGCTGAAATCACGCTACTGCACTCCAGCCTAGTCGACAGAGCGAGACTCTTAACTCAAAAAAAAAAAAAAAACCAAAAATTGTAAAATTCCTTTCCTAGTGATTTTCTTGCAGAATATCAGCAAAATGTACATTTTGAAATTTTATTTTAGGTGAAAAATTTACGTTCTGGAGTTTCTCGTGCTGCTGTGGTCTGTTTAAGTGATCTTTTCACTTATTTGAAAAAGAGCATGGATCAAGAGCTAGATACCACAGTAAAAGTTTTGTTGCAGAAGGCTGGTGAATCAAATACATTTATAAGAGAAGATGTTGACAAAGCATTGAGAGCTATGGTTAATAATGTAACTCCTGCACGTGCAGTTGTTTCTCTTATCAATGGTGGACAAAGGTAATGTTCAAAATGACCTTGAAATGTCTTTAAACTAAAAATGAAATGTTGCAATCAGGAGTGTAGAAAAGAAACAAGCAAATCTTAGTATTATATTGGTCAAAAAACATTTATTAAAAAGTTCCTATGAGATAAACATTATACTACATGCTGAATATGAAAAGAATAATGTTGTTATTATTTTTCTCATAGAATATGTATACTTCTTGTGTCCCTCGGGCACCTAGCAAAATGTCTGCCACACAGAATCATCTAGGCAATTTGGCTTTAGGAGCCTTACAATTATTATTATTTTTTTATTAATTTTTATTTCAGTAGCTTTTGGGGTACAAGTGGTTTTTTTGTTACATGGGTGAATTGTATAATAGTGAATTCTGAGATTTTTGTGCACCCATCACTTGAGTAGTGTACATTGTACCTAATGTGTAGTTTTTATGCCTCACCCCCTCCTGCTCTCCTTCTTTCTCTAAAGTTCATTATATATAGTTCATTATATATATCACCCTGTATGGCTTTGCATACTCATAACTTAGCTGCCACTTATAGGTGAGAACATATGGTTTTTGGTGTTTTACGCCTGTGTTATTTCACTTAGAATAATGGCCTCCAGCTCCATACAAGTTTCTGCAAAAGACACTATTTAATTCATTTTAATGGCTGGGTAGTATTTTTATATATATATATATATATGTACATATATATATACACACACCATTTTCTTTATCCACTGATTAGTCCGTGGGCACTTACATTGGTTCTACATCTTTGTAATTTTGAATTTTGTTGCTATAAACATATATGTGCAAGTATCTTTTTCACATAATGACTTCTTTTCGTTTGGGTAGATACCAAGTAGTGGGATTGCTAGATCAAATGGTAGATCTACTTTTAGCTCAATAAAAGTTATTGTAATAATGTTACCCTGTTGTTATTCCAATAATGTTATTTACATTCATAGAGCTATAACTAAATGTCTGTTTTGTTTTGCTTTTAACTTTTGAGGAAGGGATAAGTAATGCAAATAATTTGACATTCTAGACTCACAGGATGATTGTTGAGGAGCTGTTAAATCATTTAACTTTAGGATTGATCTTTGGCCTCATGTGGTGGCTCACACCTGTAATCCCAGCACTTTGGGAGGCCAAGGTGAGAAGATCCCTTGAGCCCAGAAGTTCGAGACCAGCCTGGGCAACATAGTGAGACCTCGTCTGTACTAAAAATAAAATCAAATTAACTAAGTGTGGTGGCACATGCCTGTGGCCTCAGCTACTTGGAAGGCTGAGGCAGGAGGATCACTTGAACCCAGGAGGTCGAAGCTGCAGTAAGCCATAATTGCATCACTGCATTCCAGCCTCAATGACAGAGCACGACCCTGTCCCAAAAAACAAAACCAAAACAAAACAAACAAAAAAACACCATAGATCCATAGATATTTGGAGCATAGTTTATATAACAACTCTGTATTAATTGATCATGTCTCCTTGTAGTCATTTACACATTGCTGTAAGAAGGTGTACAGCCCAGCATTTATCAGATGTATTGGAATTTATGGAACCAGAACGTATTTTATCTGCAACAAAGGATATGGCTGAACGTATATTACCAGCTGCTGCTAAGTTTGCTCAAGACAGTTCACAAGAAACCAGGTGAATATCTGCTAATGTTGGCTAAATCTATTATTAATAAGGGCTTACAAGTAGGAAAGGAAAGAAAGTTAAAAAAAGAATGAACATTTTCTAAATGGAGAAGTGGGATCCCCAGGGATTGGTGCTGGGGGATGGTCTTATTTAACCAGATTGTAAATACTCTTGAGGGAGTGCACAGTGAATTCTCCAAATTTACAGATGACACTACATACTTCTGGGTAGTGAGATGCCAAGTCACAGGGATGAACTTCATGAAAATGGCACAAGACTGTATGAGTGGGCAGAAAAGTGGCAGAAGAACTTCATTATGGGCAAATGTAAGGTAATGCATTTAGGGGAAAATGATATATTTTCCAAGCAATCAGGTAAAATCAAGGAAATAGGTACACATGAAAAATGCAGGAATAGGGCTGGGCGTGGTGACTCACGCCTGTAATCCCAGCACTTTGGAAGGCCGAGGTGGGCGGATGACGAGGTCAGGAGTTCAAGACCAGCCTGGCCAACATGGTGAAACCCCGTCTCTACTGAAAATACAATACAATTAGCCGGGCGTGGTGGCAGGCACCTGTAATCTCAGCTACTCGGGAGGCTGAGGCAGGAGAATTGCTTGAACCCAGGAGGCGAATGTTGTAGTGAGCTGAGA